AAATTTGATTTTAGCATTTGGAAACAAAAAATAAAATGCATTTTAATTCAACAGAAGTCATTTAGGGAGTTGGTCAGACCTATTTGACTTCTGACACCGAAGAAAAAAGGGCTGAATGAACGAAAATGCTTGTTCCACAATTTATTTGAACTTATCCGACTCTGTGCTTAGAAAAATTAGAATTTTGGAATCTGCTAAAACCCTTTGGGATAAACTTGAAGAACTCTATACTGAAACCTCTTTGCTCAGTAAAATGTTTTTGCTTAAAAAAATTTTAAATTTAGATTGGATATGTCTAAGGACACTGAGGAGAACCTAGATGTTTTCACAAAACTTATTTGAAGTTAACTGATGACAAACATATAGACGACTATACTCCTATTGCCCTTCTAAATGTTATTCCTGACTCATATAGTAATGTAAAATCTGGTATGAAATATGGTAGAGATGAGGTTACCCTTGACATTGTGGTCAATGGTCTTAAGAGTAAGGAATTAGATTTAATACCCTTGACATTGTGGTCAATGGTCTTAAGAGTAAGGAATTAGATTTAAAACATTCTGGGGGAAATAAAAATTCTGGTGGTCTTAAGAGTAAGGAATTAGATTTAAAACATTCTGGGGGAAATAAAAATTCTGGTGAGGTTATGCATGTAAGGGATAGGCATCAGAATAGGTCTAATAACCAAAAGAATACTAGTAATAGGGAATCAAGTTGGAAAAAATTCGAAAATGGAAGGGGTAGATCTAAGTCCAGGTTTAAAGTTAAAAATGCTATAATTGTCATGAATCTGGTCACTTTATTAAAGATTGTCCTAAGCCTAAATAAAAATCAGTAAAATGGTCATGCTAATATGGCTGTCTGTGAGGGAAAAATAAGTGAAATTTTCATGATTAATAATCTTTGTAATTTTGCATATTTGAACTCTGTGTTATCTGATTCTTTGTGTAAATTAGATTGGTTAGTAGACTCTGGTTGTACTTTTCATATGACTCCTTTTAAAAACTTGTTTTCAAACTACAAGAAAATAGAGAATGACTTTGTGTCAATGGCAAATGAAAAGAAATGCAATGTTTTAGGAACTGGTGATGTATGCCTTAGGTTTTCTTCTGGTTCTGTGTTTACTTTGAAGGATGTTAGGCATGTTCCTGATTTACGTTATAACTTGATTTCTTGTGCATCTCTAGAAAATGATGATTTGGAGGGAAAATGAGTTATAAAAATTCTGAAAGGGTCTCTTGTTATTTTTACTGCTGAAAAACAAAATAACTTATATGTTTGTCATGCTGAACCTGTGCTTGATTCCGTTAACTCTGTGATAGGTGATAAATCTGTTTTATGGCATAATAGATTGGGTCACATGAGTAATAAAGAATTAGAAATTTTGCATAAAGGAGGTCACTTTGGTAGTGATAAAATATCCCCCATCCCTTTCTGTGAATCTTGTGTGCTAGGAAAACAACATAGGATTAGTTTTCCTATTTCTTCTTTTCCTAATCAGTCTAAGTGCACTAATGTAATTGAATATTTGCATGCTGATGTGTGGGGTCCCTCTAGTGTTCCTACGCATGGAGGGAACCAATATTTTCTTTCCATAATTGATGATTATTCTAGAAAAGTTTGGGTTTTACTCATGAAGCAAAAATATGAAGTTTTTGACAAATTTAAAAACTAAAAAATTATGATTAAAAACCAAACGGAAAAGAAAATTAAAACTCTTAGGACAGACAATGGTCTTGAGTTTTGTAACAAACAATTGAATGATTTGTGTGCTACTTGGGGTATTAAAAGGCATAGGATTGCTGAAAGGATGAATAGAACTCTCTTAGAGAGGGTGAGTGCTATGTTGGCCACATCTGGGCTCTCCAAGAAGTTCTAGGGAGAAGTTGTTTGTACTGTGGCCTATTTGATTAATAGGTCTCCTTCTGTTCCCTTAGGAGGGAAATGCCCTGAATTTGTGTTCACGGGCAAACCTCTTGATTTAAATAATTTAAGAATTTTCGGGAGTGCTGGCTATGTACATCAAAAGATTGATAAGTTAGAACCTAGATCTAAGAAATGTGTTTTCTTAGGACATGCTGAAGGGGTAAAAGGTTATAGGCTTTGGAATAAGAGTGAACCGGGGTTTAAGGTAGTGATAAGTAGAGATGTTGTTTTTAATAAAAATGAATTTCCTTGTTTACCTTTACATGTCCCTATTCTTGAAAATAATGCTCCAAATGAGGTGGAGCAAATGCCTATTATTAATCAACCCGAATCACCTCCTGAAGAGAAATTGAATGATATAATTATTAAAAATCAAGATGAGATTATTCCTAATGAGATGGAGCATGATATGCAGGAAATAGATAACATGCATGATTTGAATGATTATCAACTCACTAGGGACAGAAACAAAAGAACCATTAGGAAACCTGAAAGGTATAGAGATTGTAATTTGATTGATTGTAACATGTTTGAGTTTGCCTTTAATGTGTTTGAATCCCTTGAGTGCAATGAACCTAAGACTTATAGAGAAGCATTAAAATAAAAATATTCTGAAGAATGGATTAGTGCTATGAAGAGTGAGATGGAATCCCTAAGAATTAACCAAACATGGAAACTTGTTCCTAAACCTGCTAGTTGTTTTGTAGTGGACTGTAAGTATCTGTTTAAGGTAAAATAAGAATCTGAAAGTGTTAGGTTTAAGGCTAGGTTAGTAGCTAAGGGATTTACTCAAAAGGAGGGAATTGATTATGCCGAAATTTTTGCTCCTGTTGTCAAATTCACTACTGTTAGAATTATGCTTGCTTTAGTTGCTCATTTTAATTGGGAATTAAAACAAATGGATGTAACTACTGCTTTCTTGCATCGTGATCTTGATAAAAATATTTATATGCACCAACCTGAGGCCTTTGTGGACCCTAAATTGCCTGATCATTTGTGTTTGTTAAAAAAAAGGTTTTGTATGGTTTAAAACAATCACCTAGGCAATGGAATATTAGGTTTGATAAATGCATGCAATCTTTAAAGTTTAAAAGAAGTTCTGCTGATCATTGTCTGTATTATAAGAATATAGATTTTGTGCTTGTATTTCTTTTAATTTATGTGGATGACATGTTGATTGTTAGTCCTTGTTTAAAGTCTATTGAGCATATTCAAAAACGTCTTTGTGAAAATTTTGACATGAAAGACTTAGGCGATGCTAAAAGAATCCTAGGCATGAATATTATTAGGGACAAAAACAAATCTACTCTAATTTAAACCAAAGTTCATATATTGAAAATTTTTTGAGTAAATTCGCTATGTCTGATGCCAATTCTGTGAATGTACCTCTTGCTTCCCATTTTGTGTTAAGTAAGGATCGGTCCCTCAAGACCGAAACTGAAATAAATGATATGAAGAAGGTGCCATATTCAAATGCTATATGATTGGTCATGTATCTCATGGTTGGTACTAGGCCTGACATTGCATATGCAGTTAGTTGCTTGAGTAGATATATGTCAAATCCTAGTATGCCTAATTGGAATGCTTTGAAATGGCTTTTAAGATATTTAAAATCCTCTGTGGATGTAGGATTAGCCTTCTCTAAGTGTTCTGAAGGTGTCAAACTAGTTGGCTATGTAGAGTCCAATTATACAAATGATAAAGATAATAGAAAATCTACTTCTTCCTATGTGTTTACTTTGTGTGGCTCTTGCATAAGTTGGAAATCCCAACTACAACCCATTGTTGCTTTATTCACTACTGAATCTGAGTATGTTGCTGTCACTGAAGTTTTTAAAAAAGCTATTTGGTTTAGGGGCCTTATATCTAAAATTGGTTTTCTTGATAAAAATATGGTTGTATTTTCTGATAGTCAATCTGCTATTCAACTTTGCAAAAATCCTGTTTTTCATGATAGAACTAAACATATTGATGTTAGATTTCATTACATTCGAGATATAGTTAAAAAGTCCTGTTTTTCATGATAGAACTAAACATATTGATGTTAGATTTCATTACATTCGAGATATAGTTAAAAAGAGTATTGTCAAGTTAGAGAAAATTCTCTCAGATTTAACCCTGCTGACATGGGTACTAAGTGTTTGCCTGCTGAAAAATTTATCTCGTGTCAAAGAATCTTGAATTTTGATTTTGGGTAATTTTCCTTTTCTTTGTGTTTTGCCTTTGTGGCCTATTAACTTGCTTTGTGCTTGTTAGTAGCTTTGTGATATTTTCCCTTTGAACTCGATGACCGTTTGGTAGAGTTCGCTCCTTTGTGGACTTAGCATGCTTGGTGATCTTACCCCGATCTATGTGATCTGAGTTTACTTTGTGTATTCTCTTCCATTGCTTGTATCTCCTTTGTAATCATACATGTAATGGTTTGGCGATGATGAGTCTTGCAGTTCCGTGGTTTTTTCCTCTGTGCACTACCTTGGGCCAACGGTGGAGATTGTTGCTATTTTTGTTGGCCCAAAATCTGGCCCGTTACCAAAAGGCCCAGTTCCCCACAATTTTTGTTTCAGCCTATCTCTAAACCTCTCCTCCTACCCGATAGTACTGAACCCTAAGTCGGCAGCCTCCTTTCCATCCCTTTGTCCTGCTCTGCAGCCGCTGTGAGTCCCATCTCCCATCTCTGTAGGTCGGCTCCTACCATTTGAAACCCTAGGCTTCTCTCCTGTGTCGGCTTCCCCCTTCTCTATTTAGGTCGAAGGACTGGTAGTAGCTTGGGAGAGATTGAGAGCGACGGTGAAGAAGACCCTGAGCTTTGTGCTCTCCTCTGCTTTTTGCGATCCATCCTCTCCCTTCTAAAGCTTTGTGCTTTCACCTTTTGTGAGGTGAGTGGAGAGACAGTGGAATAGTTGCTTTTCCCCTTTTGTGTTCTTGGTGGTGCACAAGAGAAGAAGAACGGACTGGTTGGTCAGGCTTCTGAGCCAAACTTACGACGACGTTGATTATTAACACTTACGTATCATCAAACTAAAACCACTTTGTTTGAGGACTCTTGCCAAGTCTGAGTTGTACTGGATCAACTCTGAAGGGGGGAAAAAAGAGGAAAACCATTCACACATTTATAAGGGGAGAAATACAAAGACAAAGGGGAAAAAAATTCCTTCACATTTGCATGCATCAGATACTATCTTCGAAGAGAAGGAATGCAAAATATCACACGCAAAACATCAATATCTCGTCCATTTTCTGTGAAGGCTGATCATCTTCAGCAATCATTTTTCTCTTCTGCTAGCTGATGGCAACTTCCTTATTCACTGCAGATTTTGCAAGCATCTAAAAGTGTCTCCTAGTGATACAAAAAAGGAAAAAATATTAATCAGTTGTAATACTAGATATCTAGTAATAACTCTAAGAGGAACATGAAGAGAGATCATACGGCACTGCAAATAGGGCAAGTACAGCTTCTATCCATCCACTCAAGCATACAGCCAAAGTGATAATCATGCTTACACTCTGTCACTAGTCTTGGGTTTTCTTTGCTATACTCTGTCATTAGAAGCATTATCAATACTTAAGTGAGCATAAAAGGGAAAACATGAAGCAGAGCAACCATAATTTCTCGATTTGGCATACTGAGAACCCAAAGATAGTGATCCAAATTATTCTCCCCTTAGACGAGATCATAATTGCGCAAGTACTTACTATGTTTATCATGAGAAACTGTGCAATGGGCACTATCAGCTCCAAAGACTGTCTATCCTTAGATTAATGTAACAAAAGAATTTTTGAATGCATGTATTGATCCAAGGTTCTTGTTTCCTTGCATCACTAGATGTTCAGTGGATATATGTATATTTTTTCCGTTACATTATTTCTAGGAACTAATTTCAACTCATGATTTGACTGTGCCTTTTCATAAATTAGATTTAAAATCTAGGGATTATGCTTGATGCTAAAGAGGAGTAGTAGTATGATCTATGAATTGGTCAAATCACAGTGTGAATCATGTTATACCTGTGTTTATGAAGATGTCATTTGTTAATGTAAATCGAACGCTGGAAAGATTAGCATGAGAATCATCCAAGGAAGGATCATGTTTAATTATATCTCAGTTTCAATTAAGTAACTTCCTAACATATATCTTCTCTTTGAACAACTCACTTGATTTCTTCCTGATATTTATTTATTTATAAATGACAATAATAAAAAATATACGATTGATATATGTGAAATTCCCATGTTCAAGTCCTGCCTCAGAAAAGATGTCCGGTTTCTTCTTCAAGATTAATCCAGCACATTTGCCTATGAGTAAGTAATGGAGATTGATATTTCTGTTGTTCCTGAGGTCCATGGAGAAGATAGATATGGAGTGGTCGGATTTTTTCTCGTGGCTAATTCTTCGTCAAAGACTATTTACAAAAGAGCATATGACAAGGAGGGGGTTCAATGTTGATCCAATATCATGTGCTATGTGTGGGCACCTTCTTCCTTCGCATATTTCATTTGGCGAGCAAGAAACAGTTGCATTTTTAGGGGGAAGAAGCCATATAAAGTTTTGCATCAAAATTAAGTTGTGTGATATCGCTAAACTTGCAAACACTGAGAAGAATAGAAAGTCGTGCAGGTTCATGTTTATTCAACCTGACTTCATTGCCAGTAGATGATACTATTTTGGAATTCTACATTGGAGAAAGTTTTTTCTTTTTAGCGTTTTTGTTAGTTTGGGGTCTACAGGTTCTATTTTGTTCATATATGTGCAGTATATTTGATTTGAGTTGTTATCATGTTTTTTCTTACCAAGTTCTGGAAGAACCTGTACATCAAAGCTATTATTGTTAATGATTACCTTATTACCAAAAAAAAAGTAGTGGAGATTAATATAGTTTGTGTTACTATATATGTAAGATATATTCTAACTTGCTAGCCATTGTTTACTTTGCCAAAAAAGGTTTATAGTCAATATTAAGATACAATTCAATCAGAGGATGATTTTGCTGATGGTTGATTGAAACAATCATCAGAAGGTATATGCTCAAGGGGAAGCTTTATATGAGTTTAACTAAAGCCTAATATTATGTACCCGAAATTTTGCAGCAGTTAAACTGACATGAACCTATCATGCATTAATTATAGGCAGGTGTTCCGAACCTTTCAAACATGCTGATATGTAAAATGTCAAAACTTACCCTAATTCTAGTCATTCAAGAGCTAGAATTAATATTATAGCAAGGCTACTTGTTGTAGGTGCAATTTGTCAAGAATTGGTGCGTGAATCAAAAGAGACCAATCAATTTGTACATTGCATATCTTGTTACCTAAACTTGTTTAATGCACCATATTTAGGTTCATAATCCCTTAAATCTCGTTTCGATTAGGCTCTATTAGCAAACTGAACCACAGTTATGAAAGTGTTTCATAAATTAACAGCGTCATGCACTTGATGCACAAATAAGTAGAGCTTACCTTCAAGGCAAATTGGACAAACATCCTCATCCTCATCCTCAACATCGAAAAAAGTTTGATTTTCTGCGCTTTTCTCAGGCCCTTCATCTAAACTCTGAGCTTCACGTGTACAACTTTTCAAAGGTATTTCCCCTTCGTTATCTTTGGAATGCAATGGCTCGGTCTTTTGATCTGTATTCGCATCATTGGCTACTTCTTCATGACTCGGCTTCTGAATTGTGATCGGATTGATCCTGTTAGATCTTACTACTACATGTTCACGTTGCGCTTGCTGAGAATTAAATCTAACTGCATTTAAATAATAATAAAATCAAATTAGCATTTCAAGAGAGATGATAAACATTTGTAGTCAAATATTGATCACTGGATTATTGCAGACCTTGGTTCGAGGGCGAAGTCTGAATTCGTGTAGGCTGTATATAAATCAAAACAAAGCAGAAAAATTCAAGGTCAGCGCGCATGGAACAAATAGACACCAAATTTCTTCTTTTTTATACTCTAAACATATGAATTTGTTTTTATTTTCTACTAAACAGATGTTTTCAATTTAGAATATGATAAAGAAAATTCAGGATAAGGAGAAACCCATCACAGAGAAAAGAAAATAAAACTCAAAGAAACCGGAACACCAACAAGTTGAAAATAATCATGAAAATGCACAATTTTCCTTCCAATAAACAACTCCAAGACATTGAATTTTAATAATATCATAACAACAATCATAAAAACACAAAGTTTATTGGATATTAAACATGTTGAATGTGTTCATATACATAAAAAAAGAATGAAAAATTTAAGAGAGAGAGAGGAGAATCACCGAGTTTTGGGCAGGACGAGAACATGAAGAACCCATGTTTCACCTTTCAGAATACTAAAACAAAAAGCAAAAAAAAATATGAGCTACTGTCACATAAGCCCACATGAAAATAAATATCTTTTTATTTATTTATCTGCAGATTTCTTCAAGTGTATTATTTATTTTTCTCTTTTTCTTTCTAATCGCAATTCTTCTGTTTCTAAAACTGTAATAATTGGTTTATACAAACAATTGTATATTTGATTCTTATAGATAGAATATTGAAGTTTAGATAACCAAGAGAATATTTTTGACTATAACCGATTCTAATAGTGGAACCGTGAAGAGATGATTAATACTTTGATTGTTTTAATTCGTTCCAAATAGATAACCTTTTCTCTTTCAAAATTACATTCAGTTATTAATTTTTGTACAAGATAAATCACAAGCGTACATTAAGCAGTAGACAGCCATGATTAAAGTAGTAATCTCTCCACAACCAGTAGACAACCAAAGTTTTAATTTATAATTCAGATTTATTTTTTATTTTAATTATTTTGGGTCCAAATTTTCCTAATTTAGACTAGAGTAAGATTCACATAATTCTTTTACCTCATCTGCTTATTTGTAAATTTAGGCTTTGCTGCGTGTATTGTTAAAATAATTATATGTTCATATGTTTTTTTATTTCAAAACAGGGAACTAAACAATTAAAAAAATAAAAAAAAAACGGAGTGCATATCGATATCAAGTGATCAGCGATAAAATATACTACAGATCCGGAAGAAGTTTATAACAAGATTTCATACGATTTTTGTGCAATTTCAGCGCAACAACTGCACTGCTGTTATGGATGGTTTCCTATTTAATTGAGAACAAAATGATGCAATGAATACGTCTAGAAAGGAAAACGAATTGAATTCTTTTGCATTAGTTAACTTTATACCCTTTCATACTTTCTTGAAAATTATATCCGGAACAAAACCCTAATATATTTAACTGGTCCAGAGTTTGTTTCCATGTAGTATTTTTTGCATGATTTCGCAGTCAACATTAGACTATGATTTTCTTTTTTCCAAAAGAAGAAAATCTGGTTGGAAGTCGCGGGCGAACAAAAAATAACGAGCACAGATTAAAAGCTAAGAAACGTTTTTTTTTTTTAAATTTCTTTCTTGTTAAAATATTTTATCTTATAGGAGATTAAATGCTAAGAAAAAATTGCGAAAATTATGATCTCATACCCAAAAACCTGAGGGTTAACTTGATTTAGATTGCATTCCTTCAGAAACAAGATCAATAAAATCCACTCAACATGCATGCACGCATGCAGGCATAATACTTTCATCTCACATAAAGCAAATCCATAGGACATCATCTCACTAGATTTTACAAGTAAGTTTTGTACTAACAAGAACAATTGCATAACCAAAAAGAATATAAATTCTGGTAAAGGAGCACTCTCACTGTGGACAGCTTAAGATCCTCTCTGCAATGGATCCTCAAGCCTGTCCAATAAAACCCATATCCTGCAATCTGCTACTGAGCTTTATGTATCCTCAGCAAAAGACTTCATTTCTCTGAAGCCTGGTACTGACAAAGCTCAGCAACATTAGAAATTTTAAGACATGATGCAAAACATTATATCTCATGAAAGATAGCAGCCATCTTAGTCACCCAACATGTAGAGAATTCATGAAAGTATATTGAAATCTCTTACATTCAAGCAGGAGTCAGGTTTTTAGCACTAACACTGAGACTCTTTCAAAGAACTATCTGAAATCTATAAAGATGTCAAGTGACAAATAATATGGACCAATCATGCTGCTGCAAAGAAACTAAAAGAAGGATTAGAAACCTTTCCAGGACAGTACATAGTCTGTAATCATTCTTCAAACCTCTTATCAAAATAATCAAGCAAGTTGTTTCACAAGACTTAATATACGCGCAGCATCAAGATGGTGCTGTAGGCTGAAAATAATCTGTCAATTAGAAACTCTTGAGGACTGTTGTTGTAAATAATATATACTTGCAAAAGAAATTTTTGCCTGCCCCAAAGAAATTTACAATCATAAGTTAACTCATATATACGTGAATCATATATATAATATCAGGCAGCTACTACCTTCATAGAGCTGGTAATGTAAATATTCTAGCAGAAGACTAAGAGGAGACAAATCTACCCCAAAACCCCTTGATAAGTTTTAATGCAGCCCCAATGGTTAGAACCCAAAGGATAGCTCCCACTCCAACAAGAAATGAGATAAAAAGGAATCCACCATTTCTATTACCCTCCCTCCTATTAATAGTACTGCTACTACTACCTTTTGTAGCAGGTAGTCCTCCAGCTTCTTGTGTTTGCCCTGTCCTAAAGCTCGAGACACGTTCAAGTGCTCGGCTAATCAAGGTATTTTCGGATGCAAGAGCAGGACTGCTCGGTACAGAATCTAAGAAGGCTAAGAGTGCTGAATTGAACCAGGATTCTGAAGGTGTCCCAACATTGTTCATCTCACCCAATGTAAGCCCGTCATCTGGCTGATTATCATTAGCATACGCCAAACCTACATAATTAAGTAACACATACAAATGAGAAATGAACTTAAGTGTTAAGGTAAGTAATACAGGTGCAACATCGTTTGCAATTGTGCACAACAGGTCAGAGGTTGAAACTGAAGGTGATTAAGCACCTGAAGAAGCAGATGAGGGCACGACCGCAGTTGAGGCATTATGAGACTGGGCCTCGGTCCAGAACTCGGTAGTAAGATGAGATGCTTGGCTGTGTCTTCCATTGCCACCAAAATCATCCCACCATGAATTTTGATTTATAATATGACCAGGTCCCGTTGCTTCAGCTAGGAACATTTGTGCATCGAAGTAATCATCTGTATCAATCAACCCGCCACTGACAGGAATGTGATCATTGTTGCTGATTTCCTCAGTTCCCCAATTTAAGGAATCCAGATCATTCAAGTCTTTGATTTCTAGAAATTCTTCATCAGCTATATCTTGTCCCTGCACTGAAGAACCGGTCAAGGAAGTCATCTTTGGCATTTCTATAGGTTGCACATTAGCAGCAGCAGATGTGTTCTGAAAGCTTGTCATTACGCTGCCATGCTCATACTCAGCATCTGTTTGCTGGATGAAAAGGTCATCTTGATAGGACAGAGGGTTCACTGTAATATTGGCCTGCAACAACAGTGATATTTTCAGACAAAATTAGTCAAGTATATCTAGCAAATAAATGTGAAGTGACTATAATGTCTTGCAGGAATAAAGATTTTCTAACATAACTATGTCCCAGATTGTTCTACTAAAGAGGCTATCACTACACTTAGAAGAATGTAAACCATAATAGAATCAAGGAGTGGCTTAGAACTTGCATACCTCCGGTGCCACATCTAGCTCATTTGACATTTGCAGCAAAATATCCTCAAGATGAAAATTTGAAAGTGTGTTCGTGTCCTCATTTACTATTCTATTGACTGAATGATTCTGAATATGCTCTGTTGTTTGCATGCATTTGTCAGTTCCGCTCCCAGGATTATCAACTCGAGCATCATCATTGAGAGAATAGCATTCAGAATGCTGTGGAACCACATCTTGCTCATCTGACATTTGCAGCAACATGTTCTCAACGTCATAATTGGGTAGTCTCTCCCCAACAACATTTGATACTCTATCAACAGACTGAAACTGAGGATGCTCCTTTGATTGATCTCCCATGTTAATGTGGTTCATGAAATTGTCATCAGGAAAATCTTCCTCCCACTCTTCTTCTCTAAATGGTGCCCCGTACTGCTCTCCATTCTTCGGTCCAGGTCCACTCTTTCTAAAAAGTTTGTAGAGTGCAAAATAATCCTGCACAGGAGAAAATAGCTTAGATTAACATTTAAACAAAAGTTTTTTTCAATATTAGTCCGTTAAATCTTTCACATTTTGACATTAGTCCCTCAAATCATTGAAATTGACATTAGTTCCCTCAATTCTTAAGTTATTTGGAAATTAGTCCCCCAAATCAGTGCAAGGGATTGGTTTGAAACAAACTTATGAGAATTGGGGAACCTAATAGCGTAATGATTTTCTGATTTCAATGTATAACTTCATAACTGAGGGAACTAATAGCAATTTCAATTATTTCAGGAACTAATTTCAAAACAACTTATGAATTGGGCAACTTAATAAGCTAACTTCAATGAAGGAATAATTTCAAAATATGAAAGATTTAAGGGGCTAATGTAAAAAAATCCAAGATTATTTTGATTGCTCTACCTGTACACTGCTGCAGCGCTCAAGCACCTTCTCATCGATGGTGTACTCATGCATCACCCAATCGGTACGTTCTCCTTTGGGAGCTCTGCCATGGTGGTAGACTAGGGTTTTCTTGTTACCAACAGCCTTAGAGTTGTGCGAGATGGTACGGTCCTTGCCAGTGGCCTTCCAGTATCCATGCTTGGTCGCTCGATTAGATCTTGATCCATTTGGGTACTTCCTGTCCCTGGGGCTGAAGTAGTACCACTGCTTGTCGCGGCTTCTCAACAGCGATTTATCTACAAAGTAGAACCAATCACACTTTAGCTTGAAAATCCATTATGTTCATCCAATATCAAACTCAAATTTGTTAAGACAAAATGCTATTAAATAAAGAGCGAGACATGGAAACAACAACTGTCACATTCCAAAGATAAAGCAGATAAGTTAGCACTAATAATCATGAAACCTGCTTTCTGAAATATATGATTCTGGAACACATAGTTTAGGGCCTTTCACATTGGTGCAAACATGGATAGAAACAGAAATTTCAGATACACAATATTCTTAACTGAAAGTATTTGCAAACTACAAAGTTTACCAATGTAAGAGATAATCCATGTAAAGCTTTAATAATACAGATATGCAGATTGTAGACGAAGTTATTTACGATTTAGTAGGCTGTATGAAAAGGTTCCACATGTTAGTTCAAATACGATTTAGTAGGCTGTATGAAAAGGTTCCGCATGTTAGTTCAAATACCGCGCGATTCCAGCTACACTAAATCCTTAGTGCAAGATTTTGGAGGTAATATTGGGCAACCAATATGTTGTTGCAACACACTTGACTGAAGAAATTTGTGTTACTATAGCATTCAAGATGAGTGCAGGTGCAACACTGCATGCTCTGTACATATAAATAAGAGATTTGTCAGTGAAGGTTTAATAATCACTATTAACCATTTAATACCTTTTTCATTATTAGAAGTTGCCATAGTAAAATATGTCAATCAAATGCGTGTAATGCCATTCCAGCATGTGTTATTTTAGCTGATTTAATATCGGTGCTATATTGCATCTCCAATAATGAGCAACAAAGCACACTAAAAAGTAATTCTCTAGAGCCCTCACTTTCAGTAAAACTAAGCATCTGCGACTAATGTTTTTCAATCTTAATAGAATCTGACCCTCTTTTATCCTTCCAGCGTAATGACAAATTGACAGTCCTAGTCCTGAAATCTTCTATATCTTCTCACCTAAAGCTTTTAATTCAAATAAAAATTTCACGATTATCTCCTTCCCTAAGCACACCATACTATTTTCTGTTCTGTGTTCTGGGTTTTGGGCTTTTTTTTTTGTGTTCTGCGTACCTCCCGGGTATATTTCCTCCCTTCTTCAAATATCAAATTAAACTTTATGTAAAGGAGCTCCTCCACCCAAAGATAGTAACTTTGAGCATCTTTAAGCCAAAGGCTCAACTACATCAATATGAAAAAAAAATAATTCAATTAATAAATTACTTTAAAAGAACACACACGTATTCAAAATTGAGCAAGTAAAGAACCAATCCCCCAAACTAATTAAAAGTGGCTATTATTAATCAGTAAAATAAAAAAGATTACCTGGGAGTTCCCAGGGCTCCAACTTGTAAACATCAACGTCTCCGATCGTGCTCAGCTTAATCCGACGACCACAAACCTTCCGCTTCAGATAGTAGAGCACCAGCTCCTCATCGGTAGGATGA